TCCCCCGTGGGGTCCGTGACACGGGGCCCGCAATCCCCCCTGCCCTCCCCTGTGGCGTCCGTGACACGGGGCCCGCAACCCCCCCTGCCCTCCCCCGTGGGGTCCGTGACACGGTGCCTGCAATCCCCCCCCCGTGGGGTCCGTGACACGGGGCCCGCAACCCTCCCTCCCACCCCACCCCCCCCGTGGGGTTCGTGACACGGTGCCCACGCACACACACCTCCCAGACCCCATAGACCCCTTCCCTGGCCTGTGGCACGAGGCTTGTGTTTGTGCCTAGGCTACTCCTTGACCCAACTCAATGGAGCCACAAGATGTGCAGCTATGCTAGGGGAAAGGTCAAGGCTGGGCCCAGCAAGGCGAGGCCTAGTGCCGGTCATACTGAACTCCACTCCATCCTGCTCTACACCAGTGGGTCTCAACCTTTGTTCGTTAGCGCCCCCTTAACAAATTTCAAATGGAGGTACGGACACCTTTGGAAATCTATTGACTGTATCTATTCTTGAATTCTGTTCAGCAAGTTTTCAGTCTAAATCTTTCACGGACCTCTTAGACGTAGTCCATGGACCAGAGACAGAACCACTGCTCAAACCTAGAGCCAGAGGAGGACACCACTATGACATGAAGAGCTCTCTGGGCTCTTCCCTGCACCTGCTCATTAGTGCACAAAGTCTCCAGCACAGGGACGGTCTGTACTGATGTGTCTTGTATGTTGTAGGAACCAAGAAAAAAAATGGCCCAGCTGCACGCTTTCCCCTCCTCAGCCTGCACTTCCCCTTATCTGCTCTTCCTCAAAGTCCATCCCAAAAGGGGAACTTATCCACAAGCATCTGTTAGACCTGTCACAAACCCTAAAGCTCATGGTCAATGACCAGCACTTATTATTTGTCAAGTGCTGGCAGTGAACGTGGCCCCTTACCCAGAAAGTTTACAATCTAGAGCAGTGATTCTCAAACTTTTTTTCCCGTGGACCACTTGAAAATTGCTGAGGGTGTCAGGGGACTACTTAATGATCTTTCCAAATGTTGTTTGTACTGTTAGCTAACTATTGTAAAGCGCTTTGGATAAAAGTGCTACATAAAAAAACTTAATAATTAACTTTTTGTGTTCTACAAATAAAAGCACACAACTCATATTTTAATATCAGTACGTAGTCTTACCTTTCTAATGCGATGGATGTGCCCTGTCCCCCACCGCAGCAGCCCTGAGGTGGGTCTGGAAAGGAGGGGGGGTCTTTCCCCTGTCATAGCAGCCACAGAGCTGAGGTTGGGAAGGAAGGCCGTCTCTCCCCGGCAGCTGAAGCCCTGGAGCTGGGGAAAGTTGCCTCTTTTTCTGGCTGCCCCAACCCTGCATGTCCCAAATTCCCCCACCCCCTCTCCCACCTACCCCCAATTTCCCCCAAGGCCACTACCTCACCTTACATGTGCGTCTTCTCTAGGGTCCAGGCACCTAATTAGTGGAGCCATGCCTGCGGGACTCCACTAATTAGGTGGGTGGCCCTTCATTTTCTTGTGTGCGGCCACCCAGGTGTGCACCTTAGAGGGAACTATCCGTGGACCACCTGAATGGAGCTTGCGGACCACAGTTTGAGAATCTCTCATCTAAAGTATACACATACCATATAGAGGAGGACACACTTATGATGGTAATTTATCTTTTATTACCTTTGTGAGCCTCGCTGAAGAAGTAGTTTATTAGCAGAGATTCTGATGTATATCACACACTGGCTTTTTTCTCTTCTCCCTCCCTATTACATGTAGAACATAGTGCAACATATATAGTAGTTATATCAAAACACTTCTAAATGCCCATAACAAAAGCCCCACACAGCCCACTGTACTTCCTAAAACACTCCAACACCTGTGACCCTTGTTGAATGAAACTATAAAATAACTAACAGAGTGTCCTGTGGCACCTTTAAGACTAACAGATGTGTTGGAGCATAAGCTTTTGTGGGTGACTACCCACTTCGTCAGACGCATGTACATATCAAATAACTGTTTGGTTTAAAGTGAGGGGGAGGTGGGAGAGAACTACCCTAGAGAGAGTATCCTCCATGAAGATCATGACCTAGTTAATTCATGCCATTTCCACTGACCACAGGGTCTGGGCTCACCTGCAGAATATCACAATAGATAAATCCCTGGTTGGTTTGTTGTTTTTACCTCAAAGCAAAACTTCCTCCCTTCCTGGGAAAGTGTGAAGTCCTAGTTCCTGGGTACATGTTGTATCTGTGGCATTTGCATAGGCTGTCTATGTAAATAGTCCAAGGTACTTCAGGGTCTGAGAGTCTAGCATTGTCTGAGAGGCAGTAAGTGTCCATTATATGCTTCCCAGCCCCTTCTCCAGAGAGCTCTGTACCAACAGCATGATGCTTTCTCCTCCATTCATTTTATATTTGTATCTCTTGGCTCCATGTTATTGGGCTTTCATATGCCAGAACATGGAGCCTTCTTCTGAATTCAGCATGGACGGGGATTACACGATTGCAGGATTTTTCCGATTGCATAGCTACTCAACAACAGTGAAATCTAGACCAGAAGTTGACATATGTGACAGGTAAGTGAGAAGGTTAGGGCTTGGGGCTGCAACAAATACTATGTATCAGTACCTAGATACTACAGTCAGTGTGGCTACGCAGGGGGTAGGCTGTAATTACTGCTTAACATTCTGTCCAGTATTATCTCACTGCTTCCTTGTGCTCACGGTCTGTCTGCTAGATCCACCTGGTGCCTCTCATCTTATCCTTAGATTTTAAAGTGTTGGAGCAGGGCCCATTCTGTGTTTGTACAGCAGCTAGTACAGTGGGGCTTCTGCAACCCAATACAAACAATAACAATAATAATACAGTGACCAGAGCTTTAGAAATGCTGTTAGCCTAGATTAGACATACACAAAGAAGGAAATCATATTTAGTAGGAATAGAAACAGGAGGCGAAACAAGCAAGAAAAAGAAGTAGAACAACAAGTAGGAAAGCAGATATGGGACAAAAAGACCCACGGCAAATAGACAGGAAGCTGCAACAGAGACGACGCATGGTGGGCTGGGAGTTGGGGCATGCAGGGGCTCACCTCTCATTAATAAAATGACAATAGTCCAAAATATCACAGCTTAGTTGGTGTGACTGCGGCCATTACAGAAGAAAATCTCTGCTACATCCAAGATCCACTCTGTGCCATCAGAGATCTGGGGAGATGCAGGTGGTTTCTCCTCTTGTGCCACCTGAGCAGGAGAAAGGGAGCAGAGCAGGGCAGTGAATCTGCCCCATAGGATAGTGCATAAGGGGTTGCTGATTAGGAGAGGGGCAATGGGGATTTGAACTAATAGGTAAGATCTGATGCGTGTTGTGCAAAAATAAATAGCGGCAACCTCAGTGTAACCGTACAAAAAGAAAGATACTTGTGCTGCTGGTCTCCTCATGAATCCCCTATGAGCCATAGTACACGTAGCAGAGGGGGCACAGACAGGTGAAGTGATTTGTCTCAGGTCACCCAGTGTGTCAGCATTAGAACTTCAGGCTGCCTGGCTCTTGGACCACATTGTTGTTATGCCAGGTGTTGCCCAGGGTGCATCTCCAAGATTCAGTGAAGCCTTCACATCTCTCTCTTGCCTCTACAATAACACCTATATTTCTGCAGCGCGGCCTCTGTAAACAGCCATGGCTACCACCTGTTCCAAGCCATGAGATTCGCCATCGAGAAGATAAACAACTCCAGCAGCCTCCTCCCCAATGTCACTTTGGGCTACGAGATCTACAACACATGCTCAGAATCTGCCAACATGTACGCAACACTGAGTATCCTTGCCCAGAGCAGGCAGCACCACGTGGAAGTGCTCAGCAACTTCACACACTACCAGCCCAAGGCCGTGGCTTTGATAGGGCCAGACAGCAGCCAATTTACCCTCACCACCGCAGCTATCCTGAGCATCCTCCTTATGCCAGAGGTAATCAGTAGCTTGTCTGGAGCAATGCCAAATATATTGGAAGCAGTACGGTCTGTGGCAGGGTCAAACACAGGAGCTGATTGGGGTAATCCTGATTAATCAGAAGAAGGGCAGGGAGTGGGCTTGTGGTTTGGGGTGGAGGTGGCTGGAGGATCAGTGCTCCGAGCAGGTGATGTGACCCCTATGGTCCTTTGCGGCACGTGGGACTCAGTCTCGGTGTGACTCCAGCAGAGGTTAGGCTCATTCCTAGCGCTGAGAACGACATGCAGCCATGCTGCTTACTTGGTTGTTTTTTCAATGTGTGTTGCTGCAGCCACCACGTCCATGTGCCCTCCAAATACCAGTCCCCTCACGCCCACAAGAGTCATGGCTGATGCTGGTTCCTCCTGCCGGTATCGCTGCTCGATGCCAATCGCCCCCCCCTCCTCCTCGGGTAATCACTGCTCAGCACTGACCTCCACACGGTACCAGTGCCCATCCTCTCTGTGCAATTTCCCAGCTGGAGACACATCCTTTCCCTCATTCCCTTTTGCAGATTAGTTACGAAGCCTCCAACGAGATGCTGAGCCTGAAGCGTGCCTACCCCTCGTTCCTGCGCACCATCCCCAGCGACAGGCTGCAGGTCGAGGCTGTGGTGCTGCTGCTGCAGGAGTTCGGGTGGAACTGGATTGCGATGGTGGGCAGTGATGATGCCTATGGCAGGAATGGGATAAAGACCCTGCAAGAGGTGGTGGCTAAGCATGACATCTGTGCTGCCTACCAAGGAATCATCCCCACGAAGGGGGGCGCCAGCAGCCCAGAGCTGAAGAGGATGGTTAGAGTCCTTGTGGGGACCGGGGTCAATGTCACCGTCGTCTTCTCCAATGTGGACAGTGCTAAAGCCTTGTTTGACATGGTGGTTCAGGAGAATGTGACGGAGAAGGTGTGGCTGGGCACTGAGGCATGGTCTCTAGCCTCGGAAGTCTGGAGCATCCCCGGCATCCACAGAATCGGCACCGTGATTGGGTTGTCAGTCAAGCAGGCAAAGCTTCCAGGATTGGAGGAATTTGAATCTGCCCATGTGAGTTCAGAGAAAAGTAATGTAGCCACGTGTGCCCCTGATTTGGGTGCTGACGGGAGGGGTGGCGGGAGCAGCAGTAAGGAGAGCACCAGCCAAGGCTGCAATCAGATCTGCACAAGGTGCCACTCACTCACTTCAGCACCCCAGACGTTTGACATTTGGACCTCCTTTAACGTGTATTCGGCCGTCTTTGCTGTGGCCCACGGCCTGCACCACTTGCTGGGTTGCTGCTCGGGAGCGTGCAGCAAGGACAAAGTCTATCCCTGGCAGGTGAGTGGGTCACGGGGAAAGGCCCCCCTCTCTCTTGTACAGGAGCGAGAGTCTCCTTGTCGGGGGCAGCCTGAGCTCAGGGCAGGTGTGACTATGCTATAGTCAGAGCAGGGGGCTGGAAGTAGAAAGGAGCAGAAGTATAAGTATCTAGCAGGATGAGCAGGTGCCCACCAGCTCCAAGCTCTACCTGCAAGCTGCACGCCGTCAAAGCACCAATAAGGTTTCAAGGCTGGTGAATTGAGTCCCAGAACAGGCCAGCACTGCCCTGCCAATGGGCCTTACCCTGCTCTGGAGAGACCATCTCTAATCAGAAGAGAGGATGGATAGTAGCTGGGGGCCTCGGACACCTGGGTTCAATACCCTGCTTCCCTATAGACACCGTGTGCCCTTGGGATGCCACTTACGGTAAAATTTTCAAAAGCTCCTAAGTGAGTTAGATGCCTCCATCTCTTGAAAGGCAATGAGACTTAGGCATTTTTGAAAAATATACTACTAGTCTCTGTGCCTCAGTTCTCCATCTGTAACATGGGCATAACAGGACTGCTCTGCCTCCGGGTGGTGGGGGAATTCATGAGAAAGAGAGAGCAGCAAAGACATGGACACTCCCACCCTGTTAAGGCTCTAATCTATCCCTGACTGGGGTCTTTGACAAAGCGGCTGAAGCTGCATGTGGGAATCTTGGGTCTTTTCTGTCTGTGGCTTTTTTGTTTTCCAGCTCCTGGAAAAAATCAAGCAGGTGAATTTCACTCTGCAGAAGAGCCAGGTGCATTTTGATACCAATGGGGATCCCCTGACAGGCTACGACCTTGTCGTGTGGAAGTGGACTGGCCAGACCTGGTCTTTTGATGTATTTGGGTCTTACGTCCAAAACCCAGACAGACTGAACATTGGCCAGGATGGATTCCTCTGGCATACAAAGGATAATCAGGTACCACAGCATCTGAGCTGCATGCTGGGAAAGGAGTGGCCTCAGGAGGGTAGGGCAGTAGCACCAAACAGGGATTTTCTTAGCATTACAAACAAAAACAACCTCCCCTTATTCCTGAAACTTGACCCTGCATAAAGCTTTGTGTCCCAGGGCTTGGGAGAGCAGACTCCTCCAGGCCGGGAGGGGCCCGCCTCACCACTTCTTCTGCGCTGAGTCACATTTTCTGGTCATAGTCAGGTCGGCTGCATCTCCACAGGTCTTTCCCATAGCAGGGTGAAGCTGGGGCACTCAGCATCTCAGGGTGTAGGCTCTGTAACAATCGGGGCTGGTGCTCCTGCTTGCATCTTAATTTTCAGAAAAATCTCTCTCAGGAAGAATCACCCCAGGCATGGCCTTGTGCTGCTCCCACCCGCAGTCCTGACCCCTTTCCTGGACATTAAGGTGCCTGGAAATATACGGAACAGCCCTGTGGTGAGCAGCCTGCGCCAGTCCCAGGAACTCAGCTTTGCTCAGTCTGTGCTGTTTCCTAGCTGGCCCTAGCTGTGATGGGGGCTTGCTCTTGGCAGGCCTGACCCTTGCTGTGCTTTCATCTAGGTGCCTGTGTCAACTTGTTCAAAGGTCTGTGTAAAAGGAGAGAAGAGGATGCAGGTGGGGCTTCACCAATGCTGCTTTGACTGCGTGGCCTGCCCCACAGGAACCTTCCTGAACAGCAGTGGTCAGTAGTCATAGGGGTCACAGCCAGGGCAAGCTGGTTAATCTTGTCCTGCCATTCCTGTGTTCCTATCCCATGCACCTGGCTCCATGCTCCTCTTGTACACGCTTACTCCAGCCCTTCTCTATGCTCCTTACTTTCTCCTTCTCCTCCATCCTGGCTGCAGCAGTTTCCTCTTCTCCTCCTCCCATTCCCTTTCCCCTCCTCTTGCGGAGCCTGGTGACTAGCGTTTGAGATGCAAATGGCCCAGTGCAGCTTGCTCTCTGACTTCTCCATTTGTATAGCTCTCAGAAGGGCTGCAGTGCTGTGGGTATGTAAATACCGGGTCTCCCCCCCCAGCGCCGAGTGCTGGCTCCAGTGCACTCCTGGCTGGTGCTGGGAAGCTGTGGTTTCAGATGGGTTGCTGGGAATCAGATGAACAGGTGAGCTGAAGCTGCAGCTGCCTGACTCCTCTCACTGTGAGCTTTGGGTAGGGGAAGCAGGTGTGACAGCTGCTGCCTGTCCTGGGAGGAAGATCCTGCCCACTGTTGTCTTTGTCCCGTTGGCGAGGCAGGCAGACAGACAGACAAACCCAGAAAGAATGAACAGCACCAGGTGGCAATAAATATCAGGGCGGAATTTGGTTAGTGGCAAGTCGATGGTGCTGGAAGCGATATGAAAATGCTTGGATGCTGGGGGCCAGGTGGTGCCCAGGGCTGACTGCAGGATTAGCTCATCCCCGCTGTGCCAGCCCCAAATACAAACCTATGGCAAGAGGATGTCTTCGACCCCTTTACTCTCGCTCAGTAGATGCCAGCAGACTCCATGTCCCACTAGAGTATGAGCTTTGGGCAACCGCCAACAGTGGAGAGCTTCAGGGGTAAGTTACTCAGTGTCCTGGCTGGGTGAACACCTCAGCATCCAACCTGCAGGTGGAGGAGAGAGCAGCTGCTGCAGACATGCCAGCCTCTGTGGGGCTGTTGCATCTGCTGGAGCCCTCATCACATGTTCCCCCACCCAGACTGGCTGCATGAGCTGTGTACTTTACCCCTACCAGGACTCCAGGTGGTCTGTAAGCCTTAGTTCACCCAGGTAAGCCAACAGAAGCTACTGCCCCTGACTAAGCTAGGGGGAGCCATGCTGAGGGAGGCCACTCTGTAGCCCAGAGTTCTCCCATTCTAATTCCTTTCCATATCCTGCCACAGACACCCCAGTGGTCTCAGAGGACCATTAACAGCACCAGAATTGCACTCACTCACTCTAGGGCTGAGGCCTTTGGGTTTGTCACCTTTTATACTGTCTCACTGAACCTTGTTTGGAGGTGGTGCACATTGATCCCAGGTCATTAAAGACCCTAACACACTTTACATAAGGGCTGGGTTATCCCCAGCCTCTGTGCTCCACCCCAGAGGCAGCTGCATCCCAATGGTGGGTGATCCCTGTACGCAGCTTGTTCAGTGTTTTGGGATCCTTTCAGGCATGAGGTGCTATAAGAAGGCAGATCATTATTACCATAACCAGTGTGGTGTGTGAGCAGCATCTCAGCTCCTCCATTCCCTTCCTCTGCAGACCTCTACAATTGCCAGCCCTGTGGGACAGATCAGTGGGCCCCAGTGGGGAGTGAAATCTGCTTCAATCGGACCATCGAATTCCTGTCCTGGGCCGACCCCGTCTCCTGGGCCCTGCTGACTGGCATCACCCTGCTGCTGCTGCTGCTGGCAGGGACAGCTGCCCTCTTTGCCCAGAACCTCACCACGCCAGTGGTCAAGTCGGCAGGCGGGAGAATGTGCTTCCTCATGCTGGGCGCTCTGATCTGTGCCTGCTGCAGCCTCTACTGCTACTTTGGGGAGCCCACCTGGCACACGTGCCTGCTGAGGCTGCCCGTCTTCTCCATCAGCTTCACCATTTGCCTCTCGTGCATTGCAACCCGTGCCTTCCAGATCATCTGCATCTTCAAACTGGCTTCTAAGTGGCCTGCCTTCTATAGAGCCTGGATGAGGCACAATGGACCAAACCTGTTCATCGGAGCCTGCACAGCCGGCCAGCTGGTGATGTGCCTGGTCTTGCTCAGCACCAATCCCTCAGTGCCTAGGAAGGACTACAAGACGTTTGTGACGCTGATCATCTTCCAGTGCTCGGAAGATGACGCTGTTTGGGTACTACTCTACAACATATTGCTCAGTATCTGCTGCTTTGTCATCAGCTACATGGGGAAGGACCTGCCTGAGAACTACAACGAGGCCAAGTGCATCACCTGCAGCCTGCTTATCAACTTTGTCTGCTTCATCTGCTTTCTCACCACCTATGTCTTCTACCAGGGCGAGTACCTGGCGGCCATCACCGTGCTGTCCAACCTGACCACCCTCTCCGGGATCTTTGGAGGCTACTTCCTCCCCAAAGGCTACATCATCCTCTTCCGAGCAGAGCTCAACACCACTGAGCACTTCCAGATGTCTATCCAGAGTTACACCACGAAGAAGAGCTCGGACTGAGCCCACGGGCAGGGGAGCAGGGACACCTTGGGGTTTATATGGGGTGGGTGGGGGGAGGTCCCTCACAGCTATTGATCTCTGTGCTCTCAGCCTCCCAACATGGGGGAAGAGGGTGAGAGATGTGTGCAGGGAGCTGCAGGGGGGCTCTATTGGGAGCTGGGGATGAGATGGGGGTGCAGAGGGGTGGAGAGAGATGAGCTCAGGTCTGTGACTGCCTGCTGGGCTGTGAGGTGAGAGTAGCTGTGTGGGAATGGGGGGGGGGGTAAGTGAGCAACATGCCCTGCAGGGGGCACATGGGAGGACGCTGGCCACATGGGGCCAGTGCTGTGGGAGGTGGCAGCAAGAACAGGATCGACAGGAGCTCCCCCGTTTCAGTTAGAACCTGGGCTCAGGGCCTTGCCTCACTCCCAGCCAGCCTGTGGGGTGAGGGACAACTCAGCCCATGCTCTTCGTCTTCCCTGCGAGTGGACGGGCGGCCCTGTGACAGGGCTGCATGCAGGGGCCTGTGCAGGGCCCGGAGGTGGTGACCCCATAGCCTGGAGGGGGGGAGGGAGTTTAGGGGCAGAGCAGCGAGGTCAGCCCAGGGCAGTAACACTTTGCTGTCCCCTTTGCGGCTCCCCCCACCTCCAGCCCTCCAAGGAACAGTGCTTCCCAGAGCCCCATCCACACCGGTCCTGCTGCCAACTCCAGGGCTGCACTTCGTATGAGCTAGTGCACATCCTTAGCCTGGCTCTACGGCTCCAGCATTTCAGGAGCACTGACTCCCACTGCTATCCCCTGCCTGGCATCCTCATAGCCGTAAGATTGCAGTGCTGCATGCCACCCGCCCAGTTCCAGCCTAAGTTGCAGATCACAGACCTGGAGACAGCAGCAGGTCCCAGGGGGGCCACATCCTCCAAGACCAGACTGCTGTAGGATATGGGGACTGGAATGGAAAAGAGGCACAAAACCAGATGGCACAAGTCATTCTACAGTACTGTGTCCTGGCTATTAAACACCTACCCCCAAGAGAGATCTGGGCTTCTCTTTTCTCCCTACTAAACGGGTGGAACGCCCAGTGAGCGGGGCTGGGTGGGGAACGGGATCCCCATGAGCCCAGCACCTCGGAACAGGAGGCTCTTGAAGATTTGCTCATGCCCCTGGAACTGAGTGGCTGATGGTCTCTCAGGCTGGTTACCCGAGAGACGTGAGAACAGCTTCCTGGGAGGCTCAGGCCATTGACTTTGTCAGCTCAAGGTGGAAAGGGAGAGGCTGAGCACCCTGGCCAGCCTAGGATAAAAACGCCCCTTTTCTCTCGGGTGCTGATGTGGGCAGAGAGCGCAGGTGCAGCTGTGCCTATGTAGCGCTCCTCGTGTAGACTAGCCCTGAGTCACTTGGTGACTTGATAATCCTTTACTACCTTTCCAGATGGGCCTGATAATTGAACAGGGCTACTTGGCCCCAGCCCCCAGCCCGTAAAGGGGGCCGAACACCTGTTACACAACCACAAACACGAAGCACTGTGCACACACCCATATACAAACATTGCACACACTCCTCCCACACACTATACTATGTAGAGGGGCACTCGCTCGGCCCTAGGGGGTTGTGAACAGGCACTTGCCTTCCCATCTTTGTCATCCAACCACCCCCTTCAGTAGAACGACTCCCCTTCCTCCTACAGGCTCAGTGAAGTCAGACTAGTTAATACCTGAGGGAAAATTTGCAGGGAACCACTAGTGCTGGTGCTTCCCCCTTAGAGTCGGTAAGGAGCTGATAACCTAGGACACTGCTGCTGGAGAAGCTGTGACACTTAGCTCCTGACCCCTATGGCCAGTGAAAATCCTGTGGCTGTTATGGGGGAGAGTGGAGAAGGAATCAGTGTGCACCCAATTCCCATTGAGCAAGATCACAATCTGCCTCCCTAACCCTGCAACAGTTTCATTTGAGCCTGGGATTCTTTTTCACTTCCTCTCTGGAACTCTGGTGTTACACTGCTGTCTGTCTGGCTCTGCCGCCCCAGAGGTGGCTGCACTTCTGTGCAAGGTGAAGTGATCTGTGTACACCCCTTGCAGGGTGTCGTGAAACTTTCTGGGCTCATATTTATAAAGGGCTTGGAAATGCTAGAGATGTGCAGTGGCATCACTACCCATGCCTACCTTCTTTACCATCATTATCCTGTGGATTACTGTAGAGCCGAGAGACCCAGCCCAGAGCAGGGCCCCGCTGTGCAGCACACCAAGAGGCAGCCTCTGCCCCCAAAGCACTTACACTCTAAAGAGACTAGACAGGAAGGCTGCTGGGGAGGCGGAGGCACAGTGCTGGGTTCTTACATCACCACCACGCTGCGGCGCTTCCTCCCATTTTCTGGAGCACGTTCACTGTCTTTTCCTGTGAAAAATCCTGGACTGGAAACTGGTTTATTCTGACACACACAGTCATCTGGCTTCATGGGAAGTGCCGTGCGGGTGGTAACCTCTGAACTGAGGGGAGCAGGGTGTGGCCACTTTGTTTGCACTCTGAGTGCGGTGGAGAGCTCAGCGGGGTGGGACACTGAGGGATGCAGACTCCCATACTGCTGCCAAGTGCCCCTGGTAGCCCCTTTTCCTGGAAACAGGATCTTCCCAGGGGCTTTGGGATTCCTCACAGGTGGGGGAATGTGGGGAAGCCCAGGGGGAGAGCGGTGCTGTGATCCATGGTTTCCATCCATTTCAGCAGGGTTGTTCAGGCACTGGGGAAGCGCATGTGCTGTGCTCCTCCAAGGAAATCATACTGCATAATGCTCGTTATCCAGGGATCCCAAAGCACTATTCACTGGTACGGACATCATCATGCTCCCTCTTTGACAGATGGAGGTTGAGGGACAAAAAGGAGAGAGACAGGCCCCAGGTCAGAGTCAAATGTCAGGTTGCCCGAGGGCCAGGCCAGTGCCCTCTGCACTAGACCACACTGCCTCGAGACAGGATGGCACGAATGAAAGAGGGGGGGAGCACCTGCTATGTCCAGCTCGCTATTCATGTCCCAGGACGCGGGCTCTTCTTGACTCTCTAGCTGGACTAGTACCTGCTCCTCTCTAAACATCATTATCACGCCGTTGGGCCCTGCAAGTGGAGAAACAGCCACACTCACTCCCTGGCACCAGATGGAGGCAGAATGGGGATCATTAGCCTCTGACAAACAGAAAGTCATTTCCATGTAAACATGAAGATGAAACTCTCCCTGCAGCGCCAGGGATGAGTTGGCGCCTGCTGGCTAACGAGCATCAGAACCGTTTACAGAGCTCTGCTCATGGCAGCGTCTGGCTGCTCTCACCAAGGCATTTGCAAGAATCCTTCTGTGGTGGTTCCTTCCATGCTGGGGTCCCCAGACTTGTGCCCTGTTGTTCAACGTGACATGAATCTGTCACACATTTTTACACTGCAGAAGGTATGGCAGCTGGATGGCTTGGGCCAAATACAGCCAGCAGGGCTCTGCACGGAGGGGCCAAGTGCAGTCTATGGTGACTCCTGGACTGGAAACTGGTTTATTCTGACACACACAGTCATCTGGCTTCATGGGAAGTGCCGTGCGGGTGGTAACCTCTGAACTGAGGGGAGCAGGGTGTGGCCACTTTGTTTGCACTCTGAGTGCGGTGGAGAGCTCAGCGGGGTGGGACACTGAGGGATGCAGACTCCCATACTGCTGCCAAGTGCCCCTGGTAGCCCCTTTTCCTGGAAACGTGACTCCTGGTCCCAGCCTTGCTGCTTGGATAGCACCTCTGGACTTGTTTCACCATTGCCATGCACCTTGTATCGTCATACACACCAACGCAAAGGGAACATAAAAAGCTACCATTCCAATATGGCACCATTCCACCCTTGACGCTGGTGTAACGACCACACAAGCTTCAGGTCTCCTTCTCCCTCAATGACAGTCTTGGTGGGCTGCATTTCTATGTTAAGGATGGGGCATCTGTAACATGGTCCACTGTAGGCAAGACCTGTGTGCCAGTAACCTACCCTATTCCTACAGAGCCCACGGTGTGGGGGTTTGCTGTACTCAAACAGATAAAACATACAGCTCAAAAACAGTGATTTGAGCCAACAGAGATGATTGCACAGAAGGGTCGCCTAGCAAAGGGCCAATGCCACACAGACTGTGCAAATCAAGAGAGGTAGAAGCTTCCATAAATGGCCCCTTCTGGATGAACAGAGTAGGCAGTTGGTGCACAGACCCGTAATAGCGCACACAATAGCATTCCCATATGGCCATCCAGAGGGTGCACTTTAGACAGCAATGCTTCAAAGTCTGGCCCAAGCAGACGGGAGAAGTCTGACGGGAATATACACAAGAGTCAAGCGCTGGAAGGAAAGGGCTCCTGAAGGAGAACCTTGACCCCAGAAGTAAAAAACCAAAACCGAAGAGTCCTGGAGCAGGAGACTCAGGCCCCATCAGAGCTGCCCCGTGGCGATATCGCTGTCCCCGGTCACTGCTCACTTTGCTCCGCTGATACCTGTCCTTGCCAAAGCAGAGCTGGAGGCTTCCTGAAGGAGGCTGCTCCTAGCTCCCAGGACACCCAGAGAGTGAAATGCAGGAGTCCGGGGTGGGACAGGCTTTGGCAGCGCAGTGAGAATCCTCCGCCCGAGGATCTCCAAGCAACCGGCAGCTACTAATTAACAAAGGGGCCCCGTGGGGCTCGTCTCACCGACCCCCCTTCTCAGCTGTGAGTTTACCAGACCGGTCCGGGCTGCCCGACCCCCGCCCTGGGCCTCAGCTCAGAGACACGCGTCCTCCCTGACCAGTGTCCCGGGGCCAGGACAAAAGTCACAGCCCCTCCCCCCGCCGCGCGCTGCCCCGGGGCTCCCCCCAGCGCCCCCCGGCCGCGCGCTGCCCCCGGGCTCCCCCAGCGCCCCCCCCCGGGGCTCCCCGCGCGCTGCCCCCGGGCTCCCCCAGCCGCCCCCCCCCGGGGCTCCCCCGAGCAGCCCCCCTCAAGGACTCACAGGCCCCGCCCCTCCCGTTGCTCTCTTGGTGGCCCCGCCCCGCGCAGTGTCGTCACGTCCGGCGCTTCCCGAAGATGGCGGCGGCCCGGCTGCAGTAGCCGCGCTCGGTTCCCTGTTGGGGCCTCGGGCGCCCCGTCTCCCGCGCCGGCTGCCGGGACCCCCCGGGGAGGTGAGGGCACGTTGGCGGGGCGGGCCTGGGGGGGGGCATGGCTTCCTGGGGGGGCGGGATGATGTCTCCCCCCAGGGCGGACCGGACCAGACAGGGGGGTGATGTCTCCCCCCGGGGCGGACCAGACCAGACCGGATTGGGGGCGATGTCTCCCCCCGGGGCGGACCGGACCGGACAGGGGGGTGATGTCTCCCCCCGGGGCGGACCGGACCAGACCGGATTGGGGGTGATGTCTCCCCCCGGGGCGGACTGGAGGGGATGTCTCCTGAGGAGGGTGAGAAGGGTAATGTGGGTCCCCCCCACCCCCCCAAAGGCTGCTTTTCTTTCTGCCTCCCTTGGCCCCAGCCCCGCTGGCTCACCCCTGCCTCCTCTCCCTGCAGACCATGGATGGCTCCTTTGTCCAGCACAGCGTCCGTGTCCTGCAGGAGCTGAACAAGCAGCGGGAGAAAGGCCAGTACTGTGATGCGACCTTGGACGTAGGCGGGCTGGTGTTCAAAGCCCACTGGAGCGTCCTGGCTTGCTGCAGCTGCTTCTTCCAGAGTTTGTACGGAGATGGAGCCTCCAGCAGTATCATTCTCCCCGAGAGCTTTGCGGAGATCTTTGAGCTCCTGCTGGACTTCTTCTACACTGGACACCTCGCACTTACCTCAGAGAACCGGGAGAAGGTGCTTGTTGCTGCCAAGGAACTTTGTGTCCCTGAAGCTGTGGAGCTGTGTCAGGGCTTCAAGCCAAAATGCTGTGATGGCAGTGATCTAAACAACCATTGCCTTCACGAGAAAGGTCCTAGAGAAGATCTTAATGGCCACTTAAAGCAGCCAACAGACTCAGACGGAGAAGAAGCTATCAAAGCGGTGTCTAAACCTAAAGTTGCCAGTGAAGTCAGCCCCAGCTGCTGCACTAGGAGAGCCAAACTAACCCAGGGACCAAGTGGGAGCCCATCTCTTCTTAGGGAAAGGCTTAAAAGGGCTGTTAAAACAAATGCACTGAGCAATTCAGGTGAAGTAAAGAACACCCAGGAATGTAAAGAAATAAAAAGGCCGCCTAAAAGAGGAGGCACTGAAGACAGAGGCATCAGCAATGAGGTGGTGCGTGGCGCATGTCTTAACACGGATTCTTTTATGAACTAAGAAACTATTCTCCTTAGAACTAAAGGTTTAAAACTTAAGCAGGGAGAGATTTGCTCCAGAAAAATGAGCATCAAGCATATAGGATGTGTCTACTAATCTTCTCAACAGAGCATGTGTTATAAGAGGGCAAGGATGGTGGTTTAAGCACAGGAGTGGGACTCAGGAGATGTGGGTTCTATTCCTGACTCTGCCACAGAATTGCTATGTGTCCTTGAGCAGGTCACTTAACCTCTGTGGACCTTAGTGTCCCCCTGATCTGTAAAGGACGGAAAAGGTTTACCTATATCTCAGGGACATTGAGGCTTAATTGACTACTATTTGTAACTACTTTGAGCTCCACAAATGGAAGCTACTACAGAGTACAAAAAAGAAAACGAGTCCTTGTGGCACCTTAGAGACTAACAAATTTATCTGGGCATAAGCTTTCATGGGCTAGAACCCACTTAGTCTCTAAGGTGCCACAAGGACTCCTTCGTTTTTTTTTTTTTTTTTTTTTTTTGTTTGCTGATACAGACTAACACAGATACCACTGAAACCTGTCACCATACAGAGTACAAAGTATTCGATACTTTTCATATTCATTAGGTTGTTTAATTAGTTTCCTGGAGCAAAGCCAACACACCTGCAATTCTTAATGAGTTTGTGTATTAAAAAAGGAAGAAACTGGACATCTTAAATTAAAGAAGTACTTTGGCTCAAAGATCAGATGAAATTTCATTATAAAATTATTTTAAGGGCAGGAACTTCAGAACCACTGAACAGAAATACCTTCTTGTGCAGTGTATATTGGCCTTTTGAGAGTCAGTATTGCAGGGGGCTAATGAGACAAACACTGGCTGGAGTTTGAAGAGGGCTGGGTAACTCTGATGGCTAATAACGATATCTGTACAATTTAAGATCATGGATTCAGGGTGTTGGCAAAGACAGGGAATGATTCCTGTCTACAGCAACAACAGAGTTTAGTTAGGTTTTAAAAAAATCAAACTAGCCAGGAAGCAGCTGCTGCAAAAGATGCAGAGATGCTTGTCAGGAGGAGTGTGATTGGGTGAGTGAGTGGGGGTGGGAGAGTTATCATCTTAAAGCAGTGGAACAAGCTAAACACATCCAGTA